AACCAAATCCAGCAATATCAAGTCTATTTATACATTTGTTACCATGTGTGTATTGTTACATGTGTCAAAAAAGTGATCCTGACAAAATTTGTTAATAACTTACCGCTAAGTTAGTTGACTTTCTAATGGGAAATTAAAAAGGATAAAAAATCTTAAAAAGTGATCCTGAGAAAATGGTTATTTCCTGACAATCTATATGTCCATTGGAATCAAATATCATATTGTTAAACAATTAAAAAACATAACCCATTTCAAAAAAATATTTGTTTTGAAGGCTAAAAATACAGGTTTTGCCAAAATGAAAATGTTAAATTAGTTCCATGAAATCGTATATGGCATCAGGCATCACATAGTGAAAATTTTATGAAAATAGAATAATAATTGACACTTTTATAGACCAAAAACCTTGAAAAGTGACTTGTAGAAAATCGTCTATTTCTCTGCAATCGTAAAAGTTAGGAACCATTTTGTGGTATCTGTTTGATCGTATAACAAATACGATCAAACAGATACCACAAAATGGTTCCTATTTGTTGATTGCAATCAAATGTCATAACATTAAAAACATTACAAATCAGACTCATTTGAATAAAATATCTGTTTTGAAGGCTATAAATACATTTTTTGCACATATGACGCCATTTCCGGTGACAGCGAAAATGTAAAATTTGATCCACCCAGTCAAAAATGGCATTAGGCATTATATGGTGAAAAACAAATAGAAAATCGGATTATAATTAACTCTTTTACAAGCAAAATAACGTGAAAGGTGACTCATGCAAAATTGCCTATTTCTCGGCAACTGCTAATATTACAAACTAATTTTGACATACATTGTCATCGTATGGATTAATGCTACAGGTTCGTGAAAGTTGTCAAGAAATATTTTAAAATATGAAAAGTCTGAATGCATTGTAAGTAACCCATTTTTACACCCTTTTTCAGCTTTAAATCAAAATGATGCAAATGCAAAACAGAAATAAAAAAAGCAAGACATATTTTGTGTCTTTATTATGAGCATTTATCTTGATCTATTAGATTTGTAAACATTAATATTTGCTTTTTAAAAGACCTTTTGACACGTCAAAATTGAAGTTTTGGGCAAAATTATGTCACTTCCGGTGCCGACAGAAACTTTTCTAGGTAGAAGTAAGTTGAGAATTTGCACCAGGTGGGCTTTTCTTTTACACAAATCAGGCAATAAATAATTAACCCAGAACCCTTACACTGAAATTAAAATGCGAAAAATCTTAAAAAGTGATCCTGAGAAAATTGGTTATTTTTCGCAAGGGAAGATGTTAGAAACAATTTTGTGATATCAATATGATCGTATTGATTGATACTATTTGTCCATAAGAATCAAATATCATAATTTTACGCCAATAATGAATATCACTTAATTCAAACAATTACTTGTTTAAGAGGCTAAAAATACAGTTTTTGCCAAAGTGACGAGACTTCCGGTGATAATGAAAATACTAAATTACTTCTATGAAATCGTAAATGGCATTAGGTATCACACAGTGAAATTTTTATGAAAATCAAATAATAATTGACACTTTTATGGGCCAAAAACCTTAAAAAGTGACCTGCTGAAAATCGTCTATTTCTCCGCAACTGAACAAGTTAGAAACCATTTTGTGACATCTATATGATCGTATGGGTTCATTCTATTAATTGATCGGAATCAAATATCATAATTTTAAAAACATTACAAATCAGACTCGTTTGAATAAAATATCTGTTTTGAAGGCTATAAATACATTTTGTGCCCAAATGGCGCCATTTCCGGTGACATTGAAAATGTTAAATTAGTTTGAACTAGTCAAAATTGACATTACGCATCAAATGGTGTCACTTTTATGAAAATCCAATAATAATTGGCTCTTTTATGGGAAATATAGCGTAAAAAGTGACTCATGCAAAATTGATCATTTCTCGGCAAATACTCATATTACAAACTAATTTTGACATAGATTCTCTTCGTATGGATTAATGCTACAAATTTATGAAAGTTGTGAAGAAATATTTTAAAATATGAAAAGCCTGAATGGGTTGTAAATAGCTCATTTTTACACCTTTTTTCACCTTAACCCTGGGTAAAATGCCATAAAAAAATTATTCATTAATAAAAAAGTTTTTTGTCAAAATTTGGCGCCTAATATCTCCGAAGATTTGTCGAAAATCAAAAACCTAAACTACCGTAGCTATGTGCCCTGTCTCAGGCTATGTCAAAATGTATCAAATATTAAAATCCAACGATTATTGTTAATATTACAGCAATATTTCAAAAACCGACAACTTCAGCGATTTCGGACATTTCGCATAGTCGCTGAACGTTCGAAATAGCTTTAATCTCTAAGTCACACCCACTTTCCCAGGAAAACCAAAGACATCGAATCGATCCGACCTCAAGTGGAAAAAAAAAAAAAAAAAAATAATAATAAGAATAATGCGAACAAAAACAATAGTGTTTCACACAAGCTACGCAGTGTAAAACCCTAATAATCCGAACAAAAACAATAGTGTTTCACACAAGCTACGCAGTGTGAAACCCTAATAATTTTAACAAAAACAACAGTGTTTCACACAAGCTACGCAGTGTGAAACCCTAATAAAACTTGTGATTCCAAAGTATTTTAGAATGTTAAAAACAAAAAAAAAATGAATTGTTCATGTGATGTTACTAAGTTTTGTTAAATTCAATATCACCATATAAGATTATGTGCTAATATTTCTACTCTAATAAGAGGGTTTGGTTTAGGTTTTCCCTTTCGAATGTGATATAAAACCAATTATTTATAAAACAGTTACCATGGTAACAGGTAAAAATAGTTTTATTTGGGTGACCCAAGAAATATTATCACTTAAAAAACAAAACAAATTAAGATGTGCAAAATGATCTTTTGTGGCAAAAATCATATTTAAAATGTGGAACTAGGCCTTTCTAAAGTGTAGGCATGGCCATAACACAGCCAATGTGAAGAAATATGGATTCAGGTAAATTTCAGAAAAACTAAAAAAAAATATGTCACTAATGGAATATGTTGATAAAATTTTGTACAGATGTTGGTACACCACACATTATTATATGCACAAAATTTCATTTTGATCTAGGCAATAGTTATATGTGTTGCTATGGGATTTATTTTGGATGTTTTAAAAGGCAAATTTCTCATTGTGTTGTATTTGGCAGCACCACAGCTATGGAAACTTCAGATGGCCATAACTCAGCCATTTTTTTGTGATTTGCATATTTTATATATCAACAGAAAGCAGTTTCAGTCCCTTTAAGTAGGGCTATGAATGCAAAATTGATTTATTAATGGATTTATTTACAAATAAGCCTATTTGATAAAGCTACACATTTAAATAGTATAAAACTGTTTACAGATTGAAGATATCTCCATTAGAAGCCAAGATATGAACATTTATGTTCGGTGAATCGGGGTACTTTTTGTCTAAAATTTTATAAGCTTATAGAGAAAGTCTCTAGCAGTTTGAAATAGACTGAAAGGTCACAGGGGTCAATGGCACAAAATTCAGGAATTAACAATGGATCAGAAGCACATAATAATGCATAATACCTGGACAAAATATCCGATCTTGCTGAAAATTGGCACAACGCACGCCCAATCGATACTCTAAAGTATGACGGAAAAAAAAACATAGGTCGACCACGATGTCGGCCATTTTGAATAAATTAAGAACAAAAAATGCGTAATATTGTTGAAATCGTAACTATTTATATTCAAATTCCTGTTACATTTACAGAATAATTAACAATTAATACAACATCTAACCAAATAAGAATCATGGTGATGCAAATATGCAAATTAGGTGATGTCAGCCATATTTGAAACCAAGATGGCCACCATTTTATAATCTAGTATGGAGTTTATAAGTGTCTATATGTGTAACAAAAATAAGTGGTTTATTCATCAAAAAGTCTTGAATCAAACCTTACTAAAAAAATTATTGGTCGATATTGGCCATTTTGAAATTCAAGATGGCTGCCAAAATTCCAAGATGGCTGCCACCAGCGTCCACAAACTATTTTATCGCAAACCAAACAAACAAGAAACTGAACAAATGTCATCATCCAACATATCAAACTGAAGCAAATCTAAACAGCAATTCAAAAATAACACTTTTTCACTTCTTAAACCATTACAGTAATAACAGACAAGACAAATATAACTTAGAATTTAAAAAAAATTCAAAAAGTATCATGTTTAAATGTATTTTCTGTGATAGATAAGTCATGCAATGATGTATTAGCATTTAGGAATCAAAGGGAGGTAATAGGACAGAGTTCACTCCCCTTAGACCACAAATATCATTAATCTGAGAAAAAATCTGTAAGATTCTGAATATTTTATACAAAACTGATCATCTTTGGTGGATGCTTAGTGAACATGCTAAGTAACATTATAATCATTTAAATTCCATTTTTTGTCTGTCAAATTAAAATATTTACAATATCAGTCATTCTATTTACTGCATTTTAGTAATGATAGTGACCCTTGTGAAATTTAGGATAAAATCAACAGATTTTACAAATCCACTAGCAAACTAATTTTACATGTAATTATAAAGTGCAATATTTATATAAAATTGTGCTGTATAAATAGTACTGAATCAAAGCATCACACTAATGATTATTTTACTGATTTGTTCACTTAAGTAATTGCAATATATCCTTTTAGCTTTACTGTTTATTTTGGTGGGGTTTTTACGGCCACAAAATGTTGTTTTACGTTGTGGCTTTTTGCAGCCCTATTCTCAACCCTCCTTCTTTCACAGCTCGTGCTTGCATGGGACCGGCCTCGGCAGATTTAAACAGGACAACAGTTGCAAAGACAACACACACAAGAAACCTATTACAATAACACACGATATAAGGAACAATTATGAAGATAAACACACACGACGATGGCTATGATAGTATTTTTTCATTCCTTTGTCATTAAAATGGATTTTGTCCATCAAAGGTTCATCAGGATGCAGAATATTTCTGAAAAAAAAGGACATGAAACAATCATACAAAAGACGGTTAATTGCTTTTCTCTGAGATTCACAAACACTTAAGGTATAACTGGGAGATTTTAAGGAATTTTCCCGCTCAACAATACTCCCCACATACATGTATGCAGATACATAATAGGCCTACTAAAATATTACTAAGTGTAAATCTGCTGCTAACGTCTGTACGCGTAATATAAATAGGTAGCCTACTACGTAGGTAGATGATTTAGTTTTCTGTCGTAGGCCTACTGATTTTATATTTTAATGAAAATTTTAATGTAAAATCTAATTGAAATTAAAATTGTCATTCAATCAATGATGCTATTTTAAGTAGGTCTACCTGTAAGTAAATTTACCAGCATCAACAATTAAACGAGAAAACTGACAGTGACAAGATCAAGACTTCTATAGTCTATAGCTAAAAGAATATTTTAACATGTCTTTTAATTGTATTGATCAAAATCAAAAGACAGTTGATGATTTAGTCGTCTGTCGTACTGATTTTTTATTTTATATTTTGATTCAAATTTGGATGAAAATTTTAATGTAGTCAAATTAAAATTAAAATTAATTTAAATTAGACTTTAAAACATTAAAATTTTCATTCAATCAATGATGCTATTTTAAGAAGGCCTACACTATAAGTAAACTTACCAGCATCAACAAGAATTAAACGAGAAAACTGACAGTGACAAGATCAAGACTTCTATAGCTAAAAAAAAAAAAATATTGAAACATTGCATTGATCAAAATCAAACTAGCTACTAAGATAGGCATACATTACAAAACAATGACAACTGCTGATTGAAGCAGAAGACTGTACCATCCAGACGTTTTTATTTCTGTTTTACTGTAGACAGACATACACGTCATAAACTGGATGAATAGGACTACATCAACTTGTAACGGCTCCTGCATTTCGAATGAGACATGCTGGTTTACCGTTTGTCACCAACAGCCATTGCAAAAACGCAGTAGGAACCGTTTTATAAAGTGGAGAAATGAATTTCCAACATCGTTTTGCAATTAAGTTAGATTAAGACGAATTCTACATTTGAAAACTTACATAATGCTCCACAATCTTCTTCTGTGGATACGTCCTTGAAAATCTCGCGAAGATACGTAGCGCAGCCACGCCCCCTGGATTTTGTCTCGAGAATTGACGACTACCCCTCACTCACATATTAGCGTCGTAGCTATTTATTTATTAATATTTTAGAATAATTTGTTTTGCAGTTTGTAGAAAACATATTCGTCTTCACAAATCCGCGTGCGCGTGTAAAAATTTTCTTTTCTATATATTATTAAAAAGCAATTTTTTCCTTCAATTTGGCATATCTTGGCTTCTAATTCGGTTAAAAATCGGGCGCAAACGGTATAAATAATTTTAGGATTTCCTCTTTTTGATTGGACAGGAAATTTGGTTCTGCGAGGCATCCCCATTAGCTACGAAACGACTAAAAATAGCATACAAAAATCGAAAATCGTAAAAATCTGTGTGCCACAAAATTTTATGGCGAGAAAATCCCTCGATAAGCCATATACGCTTTTCAACGGATGATTTCTCGGCAGGTAATTAGCGTACCAAAATATAAATAACACCATTAAAAGGCTAATTCAATTCTGATTCATACCGTATAAATCATTATAATTTTAAGTAGAGACATCTGTTTACAAATTAGTGTTTTGTAATACGTGTCCGGATTTTTGACGCCATCGAGGAAAATTAGCCACGATGACGTCACAGCATTCATAGCGCTACTTTAAGATAAGCATTAAATCTCACTTTTTAAAAATTGGGACATGTGACTGGTTTTGTAGTGGAGGGTCACTATTGCCAATGAATTCATTTTGAACTGATACAATGGAGTTTTAAAACCCCCCAAAAATGTAAACAAACTCCGCTTGTTGTTATGTTGTCTACACAACTCTTTTGCTGATTGGCCCAGACACAGCATGCAAAGCATTATGGCTTACGTGGCTGGCTCGAGTGGACGATAGATATTTGGTTTTGACAATAATGTTTTTGGGTACCTACATGCGATTCACTCTGATAAAAAAGCAGAAAAAAAATAATTCTGATCGTATGTATGTAAATTAATCGACAAGCGGGTGTGTCATTGAGTAATATTAATCAATTGTCACGGATCAATGGTAAAGCCTTAGACAAGTCATTATTTACTCTGAATAATGAATCCAAGCGGTGATTATTTGATATCTTATTTCATCTTTAAAAAAATAATTTATAGGCCTTAAATGGAAATAAACAAAATGGCCAATAATTTTCTTTTCGAAGAGAATTTCATTGTAGCTGAATTCCGTTTACTGTCTCTTCTTTATATGGCATGCAAAGTAAGGAATGCATATTGGATATTATTGTTTAAAATTCTCTTATCCCCATGGTTCAAAAAATGAGAACGACCAACGCGCCAAAATGCGACGATTCTCAAGTGGGCAAAACAGTCTGCCATTGTTTAATTACATCAAAGCCAAAATGACATTTCTGTAGTTATTCATACTTTGATACTGTTATGTACACGCAAAACCTTATTTTGATTCACATGTTAAAGGAACATGCGTACAGCTGTGGCAGCTTCTTTGATGATTACCAATCAACAACTTTAATCCCCTGACCACTAGCTGGCACTAAGGTGCTAATTAATTATGATATACAAAACATAGACTACTAATGTATAGATTGTTCTTTGGTATAACACTATCATGTGAATATGGCGCATGTGTTGTGGATATTTTGTTACGAAAAGAGTTCATTTACTACGATTTCGTCTTCAGCACCCTTGAAATCCTAAATAAAAAAAATATTAAACGACAAAATAGCAAATAAATGGCGGAAATCGTTGGATCAAATTTTTACTATGATTTTCATCTTCAACACCCCTGTAAACCCCTGGAAAGATATATTCAAGTTGGGTAGCTTCAAATGGACACAGCTCAGTCCGATTCAAACAAACTATACACCAAGTTGAGTTGGAGAATGTGAAAATACATGTAACCAGGCCCGTAGCCAGCTTGCTAGCTTCGGAGGGGCAGTGAAGTTTTTAGGGGGGGGGGGGCGCACCTGCACAGTCTACAGTAGGTATTTTAGAGCTATGGTTGGCAAATTTTTATACGCCCACATTTTCATGTTAACGTATATTGTCGTCGCCCCTGTCCGTCCGTCCGTCCGTCCGTCCATCCACAATTGTTTGTGAACAGTCTACAGGTCACAATTTTTATCCGATTTCAATGAAACTTGAAATATAGGTTTATCTCCCTAAGATCTCGGTTCCTTTCGATATTGGCATCTATCGGACCATAACTTCATGGATTATGGCCCCTGATTGTACGAAAAATCACGTTTTTGGCTTGTGAACACTGTAGAGGTCACAATTTTTATCTGATTTTGTTGAAACTTGAAATGTAAATTTATAACCCAAAGATCTCGGTTCCTTTCGATATTTGCGCATATCGGACCGTAACTTCCTGAATTATGGCCTCTGATTGTACGCAAAAACGTGTTTTTTTGCTTGTGGACCCTATAGAGGTCATAATTTTTATCCGATTTAAAAAAACATATTATTATATCACCGTTAAACCCTAAGGACGGTTGAGTTCGAATTTCATGAAAATCAGCCCAAAACTGACAGACAAAATGGCGGCCGTTTGTTCTCAAATAGCGTAAAAATATGGTATATCAAGGTTGTGGATCCTATAGAGGTCACAATTTTTATCCGATTTTGTTGAAACTTGAAATGTAAGTTTGTAACACAAAGATCTCGGTTCCTTTCGATATTCGCGCATATCGGACCTTAACTTCCTGAATTATGGCCCCTGATTGTACGAAAAATCACGTGTTTAGCTTGTGGACCCTATAAAGGTCATATTTTTTTATCCGATTTAAAAAATATTTTATATCACTGTTACACCCTAAGGACGACTGAGATCGAATTTCGTGAAAATCGGCCCAAAACTGACAGATAAAATGGCCGCCCTTCGTTCTCAAATAGCGTAAAAATATGGTATATCAAGGTTGTGGACCCTATAGAGGTTACAATTTTTATCCGATCTTGTTGAAACTTGAAATGTAAGTTTATAACCCAAAGATCTTGGTTCCTTTTGATATTCGCGCATATCAGACCTTAACTTACTGAATTATGGCCCCTGATTGTACGAAAAATCGTGTTTTTAGCTTGTGGACCCTATAGAGGTCATAATTTTTACCCGATAGGTCATAATTTTTATCCGATTTAAAAAAACGTATTATTATATCACCGTTACACCCAAAGGACGACTGAGTTCGAATGTCGTGAAAATCGGCCCAAAACTGACAGACAAAATGGCCGCCCCTCGTTCTCAAATTGCGTAAAAATATGGTATATCAAGGTTGTGGACCCTATAGAGGTCACAATTTTTATCCGATTTTGTTGAAACTTGAAATTTAAGTTGATAACCCAAAGATCTCGGTTCCTTTCGATATTCGCGCATATCGGACCGTAACTTCCTGAATTATGGCCCTTTGATTGAACGAAAAATCACTTTCTTTTTAACTTGTTTTCTATCCATCTCTCGAAAATGTGGGCGTATCCTGCCTGGCAGCCGCTGTTTTTTTTCGGGGGGTGGCCTCCCTGGCTACAGGCGTGCATGTAACAATAACTAAATTTTCAAAATTTCCTCATTGCGACTTATTATGCCATGATGGGTCACATATTATGAACAATACCATATAAATAAACCAATACATGACCACTGTCGAAATTACGAATAATATTACAGTGCAAGCTCTGCATAGTATCTATATTTAAGTTGAACAGTTTGTTCTCCACCAATAGATGTTGAAATTCTCGGCGATAACGGCAATATCCCATGATCTTGCATGGAAATCTATGCGCAACAGGCCTGCCATACTTAAGGCTTTTCATACTACTAAAATAGTTATGAATAACAAACCAGACCTAATGACACGTGGAAGACAACTGCCATGCCTTTTGATGAGTGATGAATTTTAAAATACTCTTTTAAATAAGATAAAACATCATGAACTAAATGTATTCTAATCCTTATAAGACAAATAGAAATAGATTTCACTAAAAATAAACACACTTGGATGGATATACTACTTCTGAATTTTATTAACATGCTACGTTTCAATACACATACAGGTATCGTTATCAGGCACATTATTTGTTTTATTACACATACAGGTATCGTTATCAAGCACATTATTTGCTTGATAACGATACCTGTATGTGTATTGAAACGTAGCATGTTAATAAAATTCAGAAGTAGTTTATCCATACAAGTGTGTTTATTGTCCCCCGCCTTTCGAAGAAAGCAGGGGACTATTAAAATGGGTTCGTCCGTCTGTCTGTCCGTCACACTTTTTGGGACACATTAACTCTCCTTCTAGTTGACCTAGAATGTTCAAACTTGGCGTAGGTGTTTATTATGTCAATACCTTGATGGAGTTCGAAGATGAGCATTTTCTGCGTAGTGTAAGCAGAGATAAGCAATTTGATTGGTTGATGCTTTGGGACACGATAACTTTAGTTCTAATTAAGTGAGAGTGATGAAACTTGGTGTATAGTTTCATTACATCAATACCTTGACTAAGTTCGATGATAAGCATTTTCTGCTCAGGGTAAGCAGAGCGATAAGCAATTTGATTGGCCGAGACTTTTAAACACAATAACTCTCCTTCTAATTGATCCAAATTGTTCAAACTTGGTGTAGAGGTATTTATTAGGTCAATCACTTGATGGAGTGTGAAGATGAGCATTTTCTGCTTAGGGTAAGTAGAGATAAGCAATTTGATTGGTTGATGCTTTGGGACATGATAACTTTAGTTCCAATTAAGTGAGAATGATGAAACTTGGTGTATAGTTTCATTACATCAATACCGTGACTAAGTTCAATATTGAGCATTTCCTGCTCAGGGTAAGCAGAGCGATAAGCAATTTGATTGGCCGAGACTTTGGAACACAATAACTCTCCTTCTAATTGAGCTAGAATGTTCAAACTTGGTGTAGGTGTTTATGAGGTCAATGCCTTGATAGAGTGCGAAGATGAGCATTTTCTGCTTATGGTAAGTAGAGATAAGCAATTCGATTTGTTGATGCTTTGGGACATGATAACTTTAGTTTTAATTAAGTGAGAGTGA